CACTATACAGAATCGTTGTGGAGACTACTGCTCTTATGAAACGGACTAGCGACGTTTTAACGTTTAGTATATATTTATCAGAGATGAGACATTTGCCCGCTGTAAAAAGTATTCTATATTTTGACCCGAATAACCAGCTATCATTATACTAAATTTCATCAAAATCTGTCCAGTGGTTTTCTTGAATGCGTACCCAGACAGACAGACAGACAGATAAATATTCTAAGAACGATATATTCGGCCTATGTATCGATAATAATGACTATTTCAATGAGATTTTCCAAAAAATATTTAATTCCACTTAGAATTTTTATATACGTATAGATAGATATATAGCAAAATATAATCTATTAAATAGATTACATCTTGAGATCTTCTTAGAATGCAAATTGCACAAAAAAGTTTTGATTACTAAATTTGCCCGCAGCTAACTAGTTGCTAATGCAACTTAGTTTTATTGAAAGAGTTTATTAGTTCCAGAATATTAACGGCGCTAACCACAAAGAAATAAACAAAATATATATTATAAGTATTATATTGGTCCCACCAGAGTATGAGAGTGTTTTTTTTTTATTGAACGATAGGCTTGCGCTTGACTGCAATCAGCGCTGGGAAGCACTGATGCCCCCCCCAACGTGCGTTCACCTTGTCGTGGTGGGGGGGCTCAGTAGTAGTAGCGAAGCTAAGAAACGCACAGGGAGGTTGCCCACTTCGGTGGGCGGTGGGAGGTGGCCCTCTTCGGGGGGCGGTGTACCTTGCGGGTTGCTCCTGGTACTTCTCTGATAGCAGAGTGGACCTTGGAGCAACCCCATGGTTGTGGTGGTCTGCTTTGGCAGACCTGCCGTCGGGGCGTCGTAGTTGAATGCATAAGCGATCCTGCGACGCCCCATTAAGACGGGGGAAGGTTTTGTTGGGTTTTAGTGGGTAGTACTGGCTGTATTACGCCGGTGAGTCCCACACGCCGTGCGTAAATGCATTTCCCAACGTTAAAAAAAAAAATAAAAAAAAATGGGAAGCACTGATGAGGTCTAGGTTGAAGCGCGCTTGCCTAGAAAGATGCCTGTTCACTCTAGCCTTGAAGGTACTTGGATTGTAGGTGGCAGGAAACACGGATGCTGGAAGGTTGTTCCACTCACTCAGTGACAGGAATAGAGAGTGCACGTTGTGTCTGCGCGTACACTTGTGCACTATAATATCTCCTGCGCAGTTGGCTAGTCTCAATGAGATTGGCCGTCGTGGCTGGAATCGGTCAGAACATCATATTGTAAATGAAGTACATAGTGTGACAAAATAGAAAAGTCCTTATAATTTCTCTGTTTTATGTAAATAAAAATTGTTTATGGTCACCATACAGTAAAATTAAACGTTAAAACTTTAATATGAATAACTTTAAATTTATAATTTTTATTTATTTTTGTGTGCAGAAACACCACGAATCTTTATTAATAATAATGATGTTAGTTTTTCCAAATATATAATTTATTTCCATTTTTACCGGTGAGTATAAAATTTTGATGTAAATGTGTAAATTCGTCACTTTAACCAGTTATTATGAATAATTTTTTATAAGTTCGGTTAACTTAATATTTTTTAACCGTGGATTTAGTTATGGATGGGGACATCTAGCGTAGGTCTTCAACTACGATTAGCGACACAAATAGGGTCGAGACTGATCTATTACGTACCTGACTCTTGGAAACTAGCACTGCTATATAGGTAATCCGTGATACTGGGTACAAATAAAACAAAATCAAACAAAAAAATCTCGATTTTCTAAAACTAATTGCTAATATGAATCATCTAAGAATGAATTTTCAAGCTAATTTAATTTTAAAGTTGAATTTCATTTTCATTATCTATACCTAGTAATATTATAAATAGGCAGAGTTTGTTTGTGTGTTTGTTTGTGTTCGTTTGTTTGTTTAAATGCGCTAATCTCAGGAACTATGATTTGACGACACATTTGGCTCAGTTTGTAGTGCTGTGCCAGTGGTCGCGGGTTCAAGTACCGCTTGGGGCATTCATTTGTGTGATGAGCATGTATGTTTGTTGCATGAATGCATGAGTCTCCAGTCATGGGTATTTATATCTATAATATGTATGTATTTAAAATTATAAAGAGTAGTGTAACGCGCTCGCTTGAGAAACCGAGTGAAGCGGGTTCAAATCCCGAGTCTCGCACCTCTGATATTTTCATGTGCGAATCATTTCTTACATGATTACCACTTGCCTTACGGTGAAGGAAAACATCGTGAGGAAACCTGCATGTCTGAGAGAACTTAGCAAGTTTTCTAAAGACATGTGAAGTCCGCCAACCCGCACTTGGCCAGCGTGGTGGACTATGGCCTGATTCCCCTCGTACCTCGAAGGGAGGCCCGTGCCCAGCAGTGGGACGATAAAAAGGGCTGAATACACACATGAGTAGTGCACGTGCAAGGGAGCGGAGCAGTAATCATAAATGTCAACCAATCAGGCAGACTTCCATACATTATTGTAAAAGTATATATATTTTACACACACACACATATATATATATATATATATATATATATATATATATATATATATATATATATAATTATATATATATATATATATATACATATTCACGGTGAGTCGCTGTATAACATAAAGCCTTTTTGCTAGTGTTCTCATAGTTTATTTCCTAAAAGAAATTCACGAACATAAAATTACTAAAGTAAAGAGCAAAAGCCTTATTTATTTACTTCATACATATAAATCTGTACATACATAATAAATATTTATAAGAAAAAGTATAGACATTAGAAATGATATCAAAAAGAAATCGTTATCAGTATGTATAAGATTTGCTGAGAAAAACCAAATGGAAATAAATGACTCATAAAATCTGCATTGAAAATCATCCAAAGTTATAGTTAAAATGACGCGATTCCCAATAAACACTTGTTGATATCTGTGATTTGGAGTTTTGATAACGAAGATTTGGAACATTCACAAGCTTTTCGATATATTTGATACAATTCAAAGGAAATTCGACTCTATTCTTAAATTGTTTAAGTATATTTTACTTGAAAAAAATACGAGTTTCAGTATACAAATAAACACTGCAATCGCGAACAAACGATATGATGTACTGTGATGCATTTAGAACTTTATCACAGTAAGATTTAACTTAAATTTGTCAAAAATAATATATAACCATCGTGGTGCGTAAACACGACAAGGTCTTAAAGTGTCATGCTCATAGATCAGACTGTACAACAGAAGTGGCATAAGACTAACATGTTAATTATAATAATTTATTTTAATAAAAGAAGATGTATTAAACTGATGCCATAAAAAATATTGACAATGTTATGAAAATAATCATTAAAATAATTAATTCATTCATTGAGCTTAAATTAAATCAAAGAAAGATGTACTCCAAAATTGGCACTTCCTTCTTTTTGAAGTTGGTCTAAAGTGAATTTGCATCCTACTCATTTCTGACTTGAAAATGAAAATATAAAAATATTAAGTAAATAGTTGCCATGTCTATATATTTTTTACTTCTTCCTACAATCAGTAACTTACAGTACGCATGTTGTATAATTAGATATAACATGTTGAATGACAGCTAAGATAACGCCACTTTTAAATATTTTCCTTAATTTTTAAACTCATTCGCTGCGGAAGAAGATTCATGAAGTTATAAAATATGGATGTTCCAAAATGAAACTCGATGACAGTAAAAAATTCCGTTATGACATATAACAGAAATTTTTTGCCATTTACAATATAAGCAAAAGTATATTTTTTTTAAATATGCCAACGTTATGTAAAAGACGACATTCTCAAAGTGCTATGAATGCTTACACTAATTAAATGCACCAAATAAGGTTTTATATAATTCCACTACAACAAGTGTACTATTACCATAAATATATTTATTTCTTAAAATCGTTAATCTTAACGCATATAAAGTGCTCATTTATTGAATGTTTTGAAAATATTTACCTTATATCTATAGGTTTAAGTATTAAAAATGAACACTGAGTGCGGCGAGACCGGCAAGTATATATCATGGCAGCAAATACCCAAATAAGGACAGTATTTGTAGACAAGAGTGATTATACCAATTACTGTACATTGCAAACGTAATTCGATGTTAATTTCATTTAAGTGATTACACGCTTGCGAGTTGGCCTATATGACTATTTAAATGTTTTTTCCTCTAATGTTAAAGATCCTGGCTTTGACACTAGAATTATTATATGGCATTAATACCAACGCTGTACTGCCTCCATGACATAAACGCTTTTGATAAGCACTATTAGAAATGCCTAATGATAGAAAATATATGAAAGTATTAAGCTCGTTTTAATTTACTAATATTACTTATCAATTTACATATATTACTTTGATATTCTATTCCGTAACGAGGTAAAAATTATAATTATTAAAAATCCAATTGAAATATTCTAAAATTCTAATAACGGTATAAATTCAAAAAATCTTGAATTAACACAAAAAGTATTATACACCATAGTATAGTCACAGTAAAAATATACAAGTAAATAATAAAATACCATATCAAATTTTTCGACGCTCGACGTCTCCGCTATCGGTGACGTGGGCGATTAAAGGACGTAAGTACCGACTAGTTATGATAAACACTGATAATCTCATTCTACAGCAACGCTTCAAGTGCACGAGTTTGTTTCTTGCAACCTCTGGAATTCCATACAATTTAATCATTTTTTCTCGAATACCATTACCGGTTTTATTCTATTTGTGACACAGTGTACAATACTTACGGGTCAATGGATTGAAATTTGAAGTTCTTATATGAATTTTGGTAGTTTTTTCTATATAATAAATTATGTAAATATATGTTTTATAATCGTTAATGGTTACCGGTTGATTGTGTAAGTTAAATGTTCAAGTGTTAATTTGCGAGAACGTTAACATTATATGTGATATGATTCAGAGGCGCGTGCCGTCCCGATTTTTAGTGTTTAGTGATTGTTAGTGAAGCAATGAGTGTACCCAATTTGAGCGCAGATCAAATAACAGGTATTTTTTTTACTATGAAAACTATAGTTTTTAAATTATTTCCATATATAACAGTTGTTAATGTAGCTAAAATATTATAATGATTTTGTAAAATGTTAATTTTGTTTTCTTATTACTTTTGTATTAAGGTTCTATATTAATGTTATCTAACTGGCTATATAATTTGTCTGGCTGTCTATATCGTTTTCAAGCTTAAACCACTGAGCAGATTGTGCTGTAATTTGGCAAGAACATAAATTACATCATGAAGTCGGACGTGGAATGCTTTTTATCCCTTCTCCACTACCATGCAAGCGAACCCGCGGGTAAAAACTAGTAAACTATAAAACAGTTCTTTCTAATAATAGAAAGCTCTATATGGACTATCTAAGATGTCTAAAAGTGCACTATTTGCACGAAATCGCGCACGATTTTGGATACATTTAAAACAGCTTTAGTCTATTTAAACCCACAGTAAACACGTTAGACGTTGTTTTCTAATATCCATAAACTGTTTCAATGTTAGTGCGAAAGTGAATTTATGTTCTTATATATGTATTTTTTAACCAAATTGTAATATTCTTATCATATTCGCTAAATAGATACTAAATTATTTTATTATATTATTTAATACTAGGCTACTTATGTTTATTGGTTTCGCAGTGTTTATTTATATATAATCTATAAAAAACTATAAATCAGGATGAAAGGAGATAAGGCATAGAGCTCAAAGGAAATGGTTCGTCATTTGGATGTATGTGTGTTCTTTTGCTTTCAATGTTACACAAAATTTTCACAAATTCTTTTTTAATAAGTTAAAACCTTGAATTTCATATAAATTTTAAGAGAAATTGTCCGAAAAGAGTAAAATTAAGAAATATTTAATGTAGGGTATCTACTATAATCTATTTCCCGTTGAGTGTAAACGCGATGCTATATAGTCTATTAACATGTGTTACTGTTATCTAGCCAACGGTCATCGGTTCAAGCCATGTTGTACGCTAAATTAAAAACTTAAGCATTGGACATAATTTTATGTGTTTTGTTTTTTCATCTCTACCTTTAAATATGAATATCGTTTATTATATAAATTATTAATAATTTAATATATTTAAATTTTTGACTCGCAAATTCTCAAGAGTGCAAGGCACTTAGGCATAAAGGCAAAGGCATACTTAATTCATCCCTAGTATACTCAAATATTCCTGATTCCGAGCCCAGTAGCTGACTTTTTTTTTAGGTTAATACATTATCACCATTGAAGTTTATCCGTGCCTTTTTTTTAAAAGGGCTGAATAAAATACAACACTCGCATATTATTCGATACCCAACCTCTATCATCCATAAGTAACAATTAAAGTTTATTATTAAGAATGCACAGATATTAGAAATCTTATATATAAAATTTCCATGTCACAATGTTTGTTACCGTACTCCTCCGAAACGGCTTTACCGATTTTTACCAAATTTTATATGCTTATTCAGTAGGTCTGAGAATCGGCTACTATCTATTTTCCATACCCCTAAGTGATAAGGATAAGGGTGGTCCTCTCAGACCCCACCCCAGGGACGAACCCGAGCGGAGCGAGGGTGAGTCGCTAGTTGATATATAAAATAATCTTGTAAGCAATTATAGAAAGTTACATTTTATTTATTATCAATACGAGTGTGTCAGTTGCGTTTCCTTCCCGCTCTTGTAACGATGTTGTCACAACAGTCAAATAGTTAATCATTATGAGTCAAAGTCATTGTCTATTTATATAATTTGGAGTAAAAAGCATTTTCTTTCAACTACATATTGTTTACACAATACAACAAGTTATTTTTTCTTTTTAATTCTTCGCCGTTCCTTTATTTGTTTTGGATGCCCTCAAAACACTATCTATACATACATATGTAAATAAAATCTAGTTTATAATGATGGAAAAGAAAACTTGAGGTATCAACGCGAACCTTGTTAGCTTCTAAACTGAAAGCGTAGGTAGCTGGCGAACCCAAATTTTGTTTTGAAAGTCCTGTTGCAGACCGACAGTACAACATGTCGGAAGGCTATGGTCGGGCCTTTCTATTAAGACTGACAGACCATGACTCGTTCTAGTACTAGATAGACCTGGAGTAGTACATAGTTCTAGATTTAGATGTCCCTGATGTCATTTTTTTTTATTTTTCTAATCAAATAAATATACTTTTAGATCTCTAACACTGGTTCTTTAACTGAAAGTGCTAAATTACTGGCTCTAGTACTAAAGAAGAATGTTTGAAAATTCATCCCCAAAAGGGGTTAAAATGTGATGAAAGTGAGTAAATAAGTTTGTAATATTTGAATTTATAAGTATGGAAATTAGCGGTTTCCGCCTTTGCCTATATTGCCCGATGGGAGATCCCACCGGTCTCACTGCTCGTTAGTAGTAATGAACTATAATTTAAACTTTAAACTTGGTAAATATGCTATTTCACGACGTAGTTTTGGCTTACAGATTTAGATTTATTTAGGTTTTACATTTCATACGTTAAAGAAATAAGAAATAAAACCTAAATAAATATATAACACATCCAAATTTTTCCATACATGCCTTTCTCATGCAGACAGGGTACTCGGTAAAAAGCAACAGTTCTCGATTCTTAGTGTATCACCAAAAAAAAAATAGTACATTATTTAAAATAATATGTAAATTTAAATAATATATATTATCTAGTTCTATTTGTTTTTGAGGAAACTATATTATTTAGACTTTTTATTTTAATACATCAGTCATTACTGAATTTCTAGATTTAAAATCATTAACAGATTATGTATGCAACGTAACCTTAGAATAAACTATACTTTCAAAAATTATAGTACTAAATAATTTTGTTTTTAAATTACTATGAGCTTGGATTATATTACATGGGTTTAATCTATATATATATATATATATATATATATATATATATATATATAATTAATAATTTCGTTTTCAATTTTCATCTTGTGAATTGCCAAGGATAACAGTGGTTGTTATTTCATCCCTAATGTACTCTAATATTATTCCATCGAAAAACTGTACGTGGGATGAATTGAATTTTTTTTGTCAGCCAATCAGTTATTCCGATTCCGACAATCTTTTATTCCGTTGTGTTGTCTGAGTTTCCGTTTAAATTTATACAGAATTTAAAAAAAACTTGTTAGCTTCAATAACAGATTTTGAGCTTTTAATGAAATGAGCTTGATTTTTGGAATTTACCATATTTATTATGCAATAAAATTCACAAATATACTACAATTCAAACGATAAGGTGAATATATGAAAAAAACTTATCAACCACAAAAAAACACTATCAGAAAATTAATGTTATAACTAAAAATAAAATTTTATCTGTAATACTTGTTATTATAATATTTACTTTTATATATTTACCTGTTTACTAACATGCGTTTTCTAAATTTACGTTTGATTCATTAACCTTGATCATAAAACGAAGAACATCCTGAAGAAACCCATCCATTAATTTGTACAGCTGATCGCGGATCTGTTTATATACGATGACTAAATATTTGCTAAACTATATCTAGAATATTCAGTTTGTTTAAATTTAGCTTTATTTTTGTATATCTCTTTTAATGAGGTAATACTTTCTTAGATTTACGCGAATATTTAACATCTATACTAATATTATAAATGTAAAAGTCTGTTTGTTTGTTCGTTTGGCTGAAGAGTGAAATAGGCTTTTTATTGCGGGAGATTACTTAATTCCCACGGGAAAACAGGTTATAAAACTTGGTATATATACTCTTCAAGAAAATTAAATATGTACATAACTTAGCATTTTTTAAAATTTATCCTATAAGGGGGTAAAATAGGGGATGAAATTTTGTATGAAACTGCCTTTTTAAAGATTTTTAGGTTTAGCGCGAGCGAAGCCGCGGATTCCGCTAGTTTTAAATAAAACTACCTTTTCGGATTTTTTGCGGATTTATTTAGATTTTTCGTTCCCGACGTTTCGAATGCTTTACAGCAATCATGGTCGCGCGAGGGTTATCAAATCCCTCGTCTCGGGATTTAAAATGAAATAGCTAAATACATACAAATGTATTTATTAGAATTCTCGTACAATTAGCATATAATTTCGTTAATTATATATAGACAATTCATGCTTAGTAATAAGCAGTTTAAAGCGTTTCAGAGCGTTATTTTATTATGTAAAGTTATCATTTTACTCGCTAAATATAAAATTAAAATATTGAAATATCTTTTTCAACCATTAGGTATTTTTTACCTTACATTTTATTCTATGTCATAATAAAATAATCAAACTATACCCCATTAAAAATGTGATGATGTTCTCCTAGCCGATTCCGGCCACGGCGGCCAATCTCAATGAGATTAGCCAACTGCGCAGGAGATATTATAGTGCTCAAGTGTACGCGCAGACACAAGTGCACTCTCTATTCCTATCACTCTCATACTCCGGTGGGACGACCACTCGACACGACCGGTGAGAGTTAAGGCGCAGGACCGATGGCTTTACGTGCTCTCCGAGGCACGGGGGTGAAACACCGCCAACTTCCCAACTCCGGGCTGTTACTGAGACTTACTATACAGGAAGACTCAATTACTAAAATTTTCCCGACCCGGGACTCGAACCCAGGACCTCCGGGTGTGCAGCCGTACATGCTAGCCACTACACCACCGACGCAGTTAAAAATGTATACTATATATGTATAGCTATCAATTAAGCTCCACTGCAATGTGGATTAATCAAAATTTCAACACTCAAATTCACTTCAAACTAAAAGCATGATTACGTTTTTTTATCAAACACTAGATGGTGGTCCACGATTCATCTCCAACAAGTCAGTGGATGATAGGGTAACCATTAATTACTTTGCTATCTCGAATAGCTTCTCTAAAAAATATAAGAAAATAATAAATTTTCATTATTTATTGTTAAGTCATTTTAAAATTCTGAGAATAATAGGAATTTTCTCGTTATATCCGATAAGTAATAACGTATTGTATCGCCGTAGTATCGTACCTCAGTTAATGATTCATTGTTCCAAAGAATAATACAATCAAAAATTTCTGTAGAAGTATACTGTTTTTATTTATTTTATTATAAAAAGTTTTACGTATACATAATATATAGATACGTCTAACGATTATGTTTTTGTGAAACGTCAGGAACCAAAAATCTTAATAAATCCGCGAAACAATCCGAAAAGGTAGTATTATTTAAAATGACCAATATTCGAGTAAATCTAAGAAAGTATTACATCCAACATATCAATAGCATATGGCTACCCTACAGTACAGTAGGAAGACAATGTCTTACTCTTAGTTCTTAAAGCGTAGAACATAGTTGTCATAATATAAATAACCGTGGCCCACTGTACAGTGTAGTTCCGGTGAAAAATTACCACACGCAATGGCACTTAAAACGTGGACCTCTCGTGACCTTAACATTGGATTACATAACGAGCAATGCATAAATTGGATGCGGCAAGTGCATTCTTTTCATTTATTTTTTCGTTTTACATGATTGAGACCGGTCACTTATGTCTTAACACAGATTTTTCTTAAGTAATAATCCTTAAGTTTTAAAGGTATTAACTGAAATCTTTTACTTGTTATTATTAATAAGTATTAATTCTCGTATTATGATTAATTCATTCTAGTTGAAGTATTTATGCCAAGACTTTGTTTTTAAAGGCATTTTCAACAATATATACTGCTTGGTGGTTAGCTATAGTCACTCTTATTGTTGAGTAATTAAAATAACATAAGTTGGCTATCGCCCATTTTGCCTAAAATATATATATATATATATATATATATATATATATATATATATATATATATATATATATAATTCAATCCAGACTTATGGGAAAATGAGACCCCATAACGCTTATCTTCGATCATTTCAGAGTAGACCTTATAGTAATCGTAAATCAGCTAACCGGCAATCCATTATCTTCGCACATCGCAGTTATCTGCTTTCTTGTATATTGACATTTCTAGCCGTCAAACGCACAATGGCCCTGATTGGGCCTATGCCCTAACCTAGTCAGAACACGCATAACCAGTCTTACTAGAACCCCATGTGTTGACCTACAACGTTATAAACGGTTCTCTTTCAAGGGCGCCAAAGCTCAGCAAATATGGTCAAGCTTATTAATATTTATTAGGAGAAAGCCGTTTTGTTTTTAGACCATTATTTGTTAAACGATTTCGAGTAGATTGAAGTTTGGTATTTTAATTAAGTATTAATTTTCGTGGCGAGTCTATTTTATGAAATATTGGAAGCCAATTTTGCGATGTAAATATTTGTTTGGCTTCTATATTATTTATTTATTACTTTTAAATTTCTTATTTGAAGTGTTTTTATGCGTTGCTTGTGGTATTTCTAAGTAAAGAGATGTAAAGATTCAACATATCGATAAAACTAATTTAAAATCTTTCTTGAACTTATAGATAAAATTAGACTAAATACGAAACGTATAGCTAATAGTAGAGGAGTCCAAGAGGGGATTGACTCAAACGCGGCAGATTAACGTAAGGGGGGATACCTTGTAGGTATTCTGTTGAGTACCTCCTTCATATATAAGTCCTTCCTTACTAACTTTATAATTGCAAAAGCTTGTGACGCACGCAAAAACTACTTAACTGATTTTGATGAAACTGTGCAGTAATATAGCGTATACATTAGGGTAACACATACAATACTATATTCTGCAATTTATAAAGATACATCATTGTACCACGCGGTCGGAGTCGATGGAAAATGCTAGTCAATATTTACTGTAGTCTTTGTAAGATATACAATGTACATATATATTGAGAATATAATATCTTATAATATTTTTCAATTTTTTTCAGAGATAGAAGCAGCAGAAGCTTGCAAATGGCTGCGAGCTGCAGGTTTTCCTCAGTATGCACAGATGTACGAAGGTGCGTAGGTCTAATATACTTTAATTATTATATGATTTTTTATAAAGTAAGAAAATTAGGGGTTAAATAAGTATATATATATATATAATGTAAATAGGCAGATAAAACACCTTTTTCTCGTCTGTTTGTCAACCGATATACTTATATATAGGTAAAATCTATTCATATTTTACATGTAGTGTGTATTGTTATCTTGAAATTTTCAATAATGAATACGGTCGAATTTCGACCAGTACGACACATCGAAACGTCATTCAGTTTCTTTTAGTGGTATCTTAGCAACCCATCTAAAGGGGCTTATTAGAAAACGACTTTGTTTTCTTTTAATTAGTTTTATCATTATGAGTATATGAGTATTATTTATTATTAAAATTATTTTATAGTACGTGTCTTTTGTGGTTTTTAATATATAGGTATATATACTACAACTGCCTCGGTGGTGTAGTGGCTAGCATGTACGGCTACACACAAGGAGGTCCTGGGTTCGAGTCCTGGGTCGGGCCAAGTTTAGTTGTTTCACCCCCGTGCCTCGGAGAGCACGTAAAGCCGTCGGTCCTGCGCCTTAACTCTCACAGGTGATGACGAGCAGTTGTCCCACCAGAGTATGAGAGTGACAGGAATAGAGAGTGCACGTTGTGTCTGCGCGTACACTTGTGCACTATAATATCTCCTGCGCAGTTGGCTAGTCTCAAAGAGATTGGTCGCCGTGGCCGGAATCGGTCGGGAATATATTATATAATACCTATTATCTCACGGAATCAAGGATTAATGTACACAAAAATCACATCCACTCATTACTACATAAAGAAAAGGACAAACCTACATACGTTTTTATTTATAATATTGATGTTCTCCTAGCCGATTCCGGCCACGGCGGCCAATCTCAATGAGATTAGCCAACTGCGCAAGAGATATTATAGTGCTCAAGTGTACGCGCAGACACAAGTGCACTCTCTATTCCTATCACTCTCATACTCCGGTGGGACGACCACTCGACACGACCGGTGAGAGTTAAGGCGCAGGACCGACGGCTTTACGTGCTCTCCGAGGCACGGGGGTGAAACACCGCCAACTTCCCAACTCCGGGCTGTTACTGAGACTTACTATACAGGAAGACTCAATAACTAAACTTGGCCCGACCCGGGACTCGAACCCAGGACCTCCGGGTGTGCAGCCGTACATGCTAGCCACTACACCACCGAGGCAGTTATTTATAATATTAGTAAAAATATGAATATTACTATTACATATCAAGTAAAAATAACAATTATTTCACTATTTAATGTTTATAGATTGTCCACTAAGCTTGTGAACGGGCCAAAAATAAATACTCACTTTTTATTAGCATATATTAACGCAATTGTCGGAATCCCAACAAGGAAATCTAATGCGATCCCGACCTGCCTCTACGATCTATTAATCATACTTATCCATTGAATTGCGTTTGTCCCACATATACAGGCTGTTTAGTTTGTTATTATAATATTTTTTCAAACATTTAGATAAAAAACGTCCAGAGCAGTAGTAATTGGTTTTTTCTATATATTTATTCGTCTATTATGGGAACAAATCAATAAAGGCAGAAACCTATAGAACGACACTTTATAAATTTTCGTTTTGTGCCACTCTTCTTCGATATTTTTTTTATAATATATATTATTTTCTTGCTTTAATAAGCTAGATATATTTTTAATAATGAAACTAATGCACCCTGTATACAAAGACGGTAACGAAGTTCAGCTGCAGAGATGTAGCCCAATCCTTCTCAATTGATACAGTCATCAGCATAATATGGACATGACTTGTATATTTTAAAATGTTTTTTATCTGCGCATATTTCAAAGAAATAACAATTCAACGAAATTAAGGATAACTTAAAAAGTAAAGAATGGCTTTTTTTTCAAGAATAAATTTTTTGAGAAACGCTAAATTATTAATACAATCTTTTAATTTTTATGAATGAATATGAAAACGCGAGAATCTGTATTTTTATGAATTAACAATGATAACATCTATATCAGAAGATATAATGTAAACAAAATGGACATATAATCTTGATTAATGTCATTTATTTATATTATTATCACATGATGGTGGCACTGATATATTTTGCCAATTATATAAACTAGAAACTGCTTGAGTACTTTTTTCTGTATGATTAAAAAAAATAAAAAAAAAATCACACTAATTTTCAAGTATATAATATACTAGCGACTCACCCTCGCTCCGATCGGCTTCGTCCCAGGTTACGTTTAAACGCTTAGTATAGATTTCTCAGAGATGAGACATTTTCCCGCAGTAAAAAGCTATTATCATACCAAATTTCATCAAAATCTGTCCAGTAGTTTTCTCGTAATGCGTTCCCAGACAGACAGACAAAAATTCTAAAAACTATAGATTCGGCCTCTATATCGATAAAGATGACTATTTTAATAAGATTTTCCAAATACAATTACTTCATATTATGTGATTGATTCATATAGTATTATAGAATACTCGATGCGAAACTATTCTCAAATAGAATAAAAATATAAGAACAATCCATATGATATATTCATGTGGTATTTCTGTAAATGTTTTATTCATAGTTCATGGTTCGAAAGGAAATATTTGTCATATGAATGATTAACTAGGAAATAAAGTTAACTGAGACATTCAAATGAATCATTCTTGACGTCATATTGTAGAGTACTTACTACTGTGCAAAGTGTGCATCATCAAACATTATTAGCGTCATAAATAAACTAAATTTTTTCATATCTTTTTATTTTTATATTATTCTACGATTTTGTATCGTCTATTAATACGTTTTTATTAGCTGTTTTAGTAACTTACAATATCATCTAATCTAAGAAGTCAGTTTGAACTTTCTTAGTATGGTATCAAAATGAAACTTTGTATGCAAATGTAGTTCGGGTGACGATACTATAATTTGGTATCTTAGAGCTAATCTGATGATAGAGCCTGGAGTTGAATAGCGGAACTCTTCAGTTGCTACTAGTAAAGTTCCCGAGTTTGGTCTCAATGATTCGTCTAAAGCTTGTTTTTTTACTTTTTTTTAATATCATCTATATTTTACGCTTCCCGATTAAAAAAAAAGTAAAATGACATTGAATTTGGCTACAACTACTTTGTTCTCAAATATTTGTTGCTTATTATCTATTGTGTACTTAAAACAATTTTACAATTCATCAATCAATTCTCTTTGTATGATTTGTAGGAAATAAGTACATAAAAAATATCAAAATGTGCATTCATAATGAATAAGCGTTTACAATTTCAAGTTCTGAATAAACTTGTTTTAGTTAACCAAATATTCACAATTTATCTTACTTTTTGATTCATAGAAACTAATAAATATAATAAATTTCGTAAATTAAATATATGTCTAGTCCACACAATGCTTCCTAAAGTCGATGACAATATGAACCAAATTATCCTTTAAAAGGACCAAAGGTTGATGCGCTGTCACTCTTCCCGGTTTCTGACATGGACATACACTCATACACTCACACACGTACATACTATATAAAAACATGTCGACCGACAAACAAAATATAAAAAAACCTACTAGAATTTTACACAAATTATGAACTTTGAGTGCACAAAGCAACAAACGAATAGAACAAGTTATATGTTGGTCGTCCTGTTTGTTTGTCTGTTACTTTTTCACGTTAAAATTGCTGAACAGATTTCGATATTGTATAAGTAGGTAGAAAGTAGTTATATAGATACTTGTGTTTGCACGCGACTCCACTCGCGTGATAGGTACGTCGATAATTTTCTCTTCATCTAAAAATATACATTGAGTAAGGGTAATATTTTTTTTTTATCGTCGGGAAATGCATTTACGCATACCACCTGATCCCCCAGGTGGTGATGTGGGGCTCACCGGCTAGAAGAGCCGGTACTACCCACTAAAACCCGACATCCCTTCCCCCCGCCTTAGTGGGACGCCGCAGGATCGCTTGCGCATAACTACTACGGCGCCCCGGCGGAAAGGGTAATATTAACACGGTTATCTATAACAATACCGAATTATGCATCTGCACATTGAGAACATAGGCACATGATGGATATTGAATTGATACAAACAGCTTGTGCCATATTGTGAAATGTGAATAAATTTTAAAAACTTTGAATAGACACTATGCAGCTTGTAAAAATTTAGTTAATTTCTATCATAATATAATGTAATAATATCTGGCAGTAGTAGCCCAGTGGTAACGCGCTCGCTTGGGAAATCGAGTGAAGCGGGTTCAAATCTCGGGTCTCGCACCTCTGATATTTTCATGTACGAATCATTTCTAACATCATTACCACTTACCGTACGGTGAAGGAAAACTCTTGGTGGAGGAAACCTGCACATCTGAGAGAAGTTTTAGAAAGACGTGTGTCTTTCTAAAACTTCTGGAATCTGCCAATCCGCACTCGGCCAGCGTGGTAGACTATGGCCTGATCCATCTCGCATTGAAGAGAGGCTCGTGTCCAGCAGTGGAACATTAAAAAGAATTGAATAGAATAATATTTGGATACTAACCTTCACTCAATGCACAAGGGAGAAGGCCATTGTCTTTTGAGAACTAGTTAGGTTCTCTTAGACATATGTACAGGTTTTCTCGTGATATTTTACTCTACGGTATTAGCAAGTGGCCATCATATTGAAAATACGATTAACATATGATAAAATCATCAAACTTCATAAATTGTTAGTTAGTCAATTCATCAGTATGTCTTGTGGGTTACTGCACCAAAAAATTACATCACTAAAGGCGGAATAATTACCGATTAAGTAAAGAAGTTAATATACCTTTTTTTGCTAAAGAGTTCTTAATAATAGTGTTCGCCAAAATTCTAATATAATCATTACTTGAGGAAAACATAATATATGAACAGAATTTACTTACGAGTTATCTTTAATAAAACAAGCTGTTTGCAAAAAATTTTTATCGATACCACTAAAACTTTTCAATAGCTACTAAACAAAAAAGAAAAAAAAA